CTAAGTGTACAATTTCTTGCCTTTAGGATGTTCTTCGTGTTCATTTTTATCGGGCCAACGAAATTTTGACCTTAAAGTAAGCCACATTTACAACTTCATTATTGATGCAAAATATGTCATACAAAAGACTGCACAACAAAAACGGTTAGAGCCATTGTTTATTTACTGAAGCGGCATTATGCAACGAGCTAAACCACACGCGCCTAACAGTAAGGAAATGCAAAAAGCCGTTAGACACCTACAAAATGACTCTAACAGGATCTTACCAGTCGATCAAGATCGTGCCAGCGTAGTACTGGATATACAGACACCTACTATGATAAGACGAGAACATCCTGTCTCCACTGACAGGTAACGAAATACAAGAGGTAGAATCGCTTTTCACTAACGTGCCGATCGATGATGCTGTACAGGCCACTTTACGCAAACCAGTGAACGACCACGGTCTTCAGTAACACCCGAACAAATGAAATTGTCGACCTCTTAAATTTTCCCAAAGATTCACTCTTATATTTTCAATGCAGCGAATCAATTTATATGTAAATGGGGCCCCGCCTCCGCGGTTATAGCCAACCTCTTTACAAGGAAGACTTCGAGGAACAGGTAACAACAATTGAGCCTCACAAACCAAATCAGTACCAAGAATACCGCCACCATTGTTATGTGTTTAGACACTCGAGCCAAACACTTCACAATAAAACCATCAACTAAATCTTAAGAGAAGAAAAACCATCATCTGTTCTTGTTTCTAACGGATATCTCCCGTCCTTAGTGCGAAAGTTCACTTAGACGAAGAAAAACAACCTGGCCAAATTATAAATCTATTGCAGCTCTACCCTTCATTGAAGATGTCTGAGATATTTTTCGAGGCTGCCAACGACAACAACGCATGCGCACCGTTTTTAAATCTGATACGACGCACACTTGGTGCGACCCAAAGATCCCATGATGGGATGATTGGTAGTTAAGTTGTGGGGATCCCCTGCAGTTTAAGGTGAATCCCCTAACTTTACAACATACTTTCCCATGTTTAGTGCGGTACCCATAATTTTTTGCTCCGCTTGACACAAACTCCGTGATATAGCCGTTATCATCAATCATTGGTCAAGTCATGTATAACTATTGTTACGGTATTTTCTCAGCTGCCAGAAAGACACAACTCGTACGAACTCAACTACTTTATTAACTGACGTAATAACTGCGGAGCGATACCAATAACCAATACGATAACTATCCTCTTAACTTAGAGCCCTCTATAAAACTATAATCTCAGTGCACTTCTGCACAACTCACAGTTCCCTTCAATGATCCTTGTAACTCGTCGACGTCCACTTAAGAATTGTTTCACGCTTAGCGTGGGTATATTGAGTTATGGATGTACGCGGGGAGTTCGGAGAGCACGAGAGAAGCGTAAGAGTTGCTCGAGGCGCAGCCGAGAGCAACTCTAGCTTCTCGAGTCATAAATAACGCCATAGACGAGTACAAATATCCGAGGACGGACTCAAGGAAATTTGAATTCTTGGATCAGAAGTGAGCTTTAGGCCTTTGTTGAGGGGCGGTGCATTGAGATATCTTTCAATTCCGTGACGAAAACCAAGGATTTGCTGTACACATCTCCGGATTTATTTCTGGCCTCTGCGTAGAATCTGCGAAGGTTTGTATCTAGTTGGCCAGGCGACATTTGTTCTAGCGGTGTCTGTATTTTTTTCCCGCTACACCAAGCTAATATTAAGAAAGGAAATAATGGTATTACCATTTAGTTTATAGAAAATGCGTGATTGCTGTTTTTAATTAACCATGTCTCATTGTAGATGTAACGTTTTTTGAAATGAAAGTTGCCGGAAAATGTTGGCGTCTCCGATCGTTTTGTTGATTTTGTAATTAAATGGTTTTCGGTAGGTTTAAGAAATGTATCAAAAAAAAACACCATCAACAGAGACGTTTACCTTTAAAAGTTGCCACAGACCAATTTGTAGTCTTCTTAGTTCTTGCTGAATGTCTTTGAGCTAAAATTTTCTCCAGCTCCTGTTCCGATAAATTCGGGAAACGGGCCTGTTGTGCTTCGTTGTCGTTGTGCTTGTTGGCTTGACTGCTTGCGGGAAGGTCGAAAGTCAAAGAAAAGCTTGGTTGGTCTTCCATTTACTGATATCGCTTTCCGAAACTTTAACTTAAGGAACTCACACTACGGAAATTTTGCAGCTACTTTGAAACTGCACACTATATTTTATTGAGCATGGCCGTGCGTACATAAAGATTTTGTTCATGATGACGCAATAGGAATTAGATAGGACTAGCGCGCGCGCTATGCTATAATAAACTTTTCTCAACGTAGCCTTCCACACGGCTCACGATTCCAGTAACAATACTATACTACAATACTAGCTTCTCCACTTCTACACTACAATACTAGCTTCTCTGGGTTCTTAACGACAACACTAACTCGCTGAAAAAGGCCTAACCTCAACCGATCGCGACCTCTTGTATATCTTTTACAAAATGTTCTAGAATGTTCTGGGGATCTGTAATACAACTATTATAACTATATGCACCATAACAAAATATGCTGACTAAGGGTTCTAGAAAGTTCCAATCAAAGTTCTCAATGAGTCAACATGACTAAGCGTTCTAGAAACTTCTTCAGTTCTATTTTTAGCAATTCCGTAACGCAACGCACTGTCCATAATACTATATAAATACTATATGATACTATATAAAACAGATTTTATTTTGAAATACATACCAGCGTCCTGATGAAACTTGCGGGCTTCACGTAGTTGGACATGAGGAGTGTGTTTTCGTGTTGGTCCCGGGTCATGCAATTCTCGTCTTTATGCAGATGAGCCATAGTAAATACGATGGCCCTGGCACAACACAGTTGGTCTTCAGGGTTCTTTATTTGAAGTATGCAACGTTTGTTCTTTAAGAAAGTCTGTATGGCTTTCTTCCCGAGATTAAACTTGGATTTTGATTTTGGCTTCCCACCTGGTTTTGGAACCTTTGCTACGGTGAGATCAGCCGTAAAGGTGGAGTTAACACTCACTCGAGGCATGCAAAGCCGCGTGGAACCTATCTTGGTGGTTTGATATGCAATTTCACGCGAAGGAACCATCACTTTTGTACAACAAGGAAACAAAGACGACAAAATCATATTGCACGCTTCATGCATCATAAAACGTCCGTGAACTCGCGCTCGAATGTAACTTTTTAACTTTTGAGGGGGGGGGAGGGTGGGTGATTTCTGGTCATCATGAAATTTTTTTTCCAGCAATCTGCTGTGCAGGATATTTTTTCCGATTTTTTGGTACATTTTTTCTGTTACATTTGGGCTGCATGCAATTTTTTTCTTCCAAAAAGCGCTTGAAGGAAATTTTTTTTCAAAATCACCCACCCCACCCCCCTCAAAAGTTAAATGGTCAGCTCCTTAAGATTTCATGTCGGGGTCGTACAAAGAAATGGTCTGTTCTGGCTCAACTATTTGCGTCAAGCACCAGACAATGTTCCTTTTGTTACTGCTAGCACTTGGGGACTTTTGCCGAAGCAAGGTGGAAAAGTTTATGACTGATCTAAAAATTATCAGCATGACAATTGGATCGGATTAGGGTAATGGTCAGCATAAATTTGTACCGAGAAAGATCCATTTCTTAGCTAGGGTGTACCCAGGGTATGAATGAATTGTCAGTGAGTACTTCAAACTGATCGCGGGTCGACTAAACAATAACAATTCAAGTAGTCTAATTTTTGGAAAGTTTTGCTTTGGGAACTCGGCACGACTTAGCTGTTTGTTTTGTTTGTTTTTTCCTTAAAACAAACATGTCTCGCTAGTAATTGAATCTGTCATAAAAACTGCCATGGTTTAAACCAAAACTTAAAAAGTATCTGTTAAGTTTTGTTAAGATTACTCTGCTTTTAATGGACACTGTGAACAAAATTTGAGTTACGTACCGCCAAATTTGAATTTTCTCAGATTTGGCAGATAAACGAAGGGCTAACGCTCGAAACGTCAGCTTTTATAATCGTAATGGTGGCCAATTTACCATTTCAAGTTTTTTGATATATTCAAATTATTTGGCAGATAAAGCTGTCAGCGGCAGAAACCTGAATGAGCACTCAGCTGAGTGATAACTGAGGAAAAAGGGAAGATGACGGGGGAAAAATGTCTCACATCCGACTGTTTACACAAAGATAATTAGTATTTCCGAACACAAATACAAATTGTAGTGAATTATTTTAGCTTTTTCGCAAACAAGAAGCAAAATCTCAATTGCGAAGTGCAAACAAGCCCCGCAGCGCCACTAGATATTAAGCCTGGAGCCCGTTTCTCTCGGTCACGGTAGCTTAACGGGCCGGAAGCCATGCTTTAAAATCAAAATTTAAAGGATAGGAAAACGGGTTCTGGCACCCAAACCAGTCCTTTTTGGTTCTTTAACTGAGTAGTTTTATTGTATCATTTTCAAACTTTGAAATCCCCATCTTGAATGAGAACAGAACAGCTTTACGGACCCGTTAGGTTACCAGGACTTTCGAGAAACGGGCCCCAGGGCCGAAGTATCGCCTCATTTCCATCATAATTCACCACTTTATTCTTTGTTTTTCGGTTCAAGTATTCCTTTGCTTTAAGTGTTTTGGGAATAACTTCTAATAAAATAATAGAGTTTATGATGATGTAAATGCACATGATAGATATCACGCTTGGTTAATCGATTAAGGAAGATGTTATTCAGTGAATGGCTCAGGCATACTCGTAGAAAAAAACTCCGAGTGCTTCCAATAGCAGTCCAACCTATGACTCTCCGATTCGTACCTCGGCAAGGTGGGCCGTTTAACGGTAATACTTAGTAACGGGCGCACGATTCTTGATAAGTGGAGTGTCTTTCTTGTTGTTCTCGCAAGAGAATTGCAGTAAGGACGGTAAGGTTGATTATTTTACGACATCTTGCTAGACATTCAAGCCCATGCTTTTCCAGTTTTAGGTGCCTGCAAAAGACTGGGTTTGACAAAAGCCAACCGCATCCAGGAAGTAGCTGAAGTCTAGAGGGATAACAGCTCCAAAATGCTGTAAAACTTGTCTCAAACCTATCAGTTTATCATCAAAAAGGCGTATCAAAGGTGAGTATGAAGGTTGTTTAACTTGAAGACGAAAGGAAATCGTTACACGACAGACTGTATATGCGTAACTTCTGTTCTCAAATTCTTCACATTGCGAACGATCAAATATCTTTGTTTTTAGTTATTTCTTTATTGAAAACAAATACAAGCCGTGCTTACTTCTGTAAGTTTTGTTTAGTGTCCCTGTAATCAAACATCTCATTTCTAGAAACTACTTGAATCATTCGCCACGGTATATGCAAATTTCTCTATTTTTCTTTCGTAGCCAAAACCGAAAGTTAGAGACTTATAACCGTGAATATCTTCACTGCGTTATATTAGGCAATTATAAAGAAGTTATCGCTTTCAAGGAATAGAAATTCGTGATACCACAGTGAACAAGGATACAGACGTTAACAGGTATATTTAATTGTTGCGACGATAGTATTGGAGATCGGTTTATTCGTTCAGGAGAGAATCTGTCTTACTCGCGTAATTACAACTTTGCAAAATCTTATCACGAATGACCTTAAATCTAAATTTCGACACAAGTCATCGGGAAAGGAAAATGAAAGGAGAATTCTCAAGCAAGGATACGGAAAATAACTACAACAGTGGTAAAAAAGTACTTCTAAGAATTAAGCTTTCTCGTAAAACCGGATGATATTTTCTCGTGGAAAGCTTTGTCACACAACACGGGATCAGGCACTAATTCTTCCATGATAGTGAAATTGTGTCGAGAAATACTGGCCTGGCTTCATAAAATAGCGTAGGCACTGATCAGTAGAAAAGTTCATTCGATTTAGAATCTCGAATGTGGAATTGAATGACACAAAGTCCTCTTGTGGTATGCAGTATTCTTGGCGTAAACAATCTGCCAGGCGAATAACCAAGCGAAGCTACACCGTCTTCCTTGCGAATTTAGCGGACCGTAATATAATGAAATAGTCGACGTCACGGGCCAAGTGTATTCTTTATCCTATTCTTATTATGTACCGTTATTGGTTAATTCTCGTTTTAACTTGCGTTTTATTCTGAGTTATTCTGGTTTGCCGTGATCAGCGTGACATTTCACGATAAGCTTTCGATGTCAATATAAACACACTGACACGAACAACACGACCAGTTTTGACAAAATACGTTTACTTTAAAACCATTGCTACATCCTCTACAATTTACAGCTGCCTAGTAACGTCGATACTTGCACTGAACTTAGTCAGAAAGGTGATTTGAGAATATAGTGCAGGGTTTGATTCAAGTAAGAACAGATTGCACTTTTAATTTTATCTTTTTTTGTTTGAATCATCACTTGTGTTTAATTGGAAAGTTGCTCCTTTTTAATTCGCGTCAGCCGTGTTTGGTACCCAACATAGTGTGCCAAGATCTGCGTTCCCTTAAACAGTATCCTTGTGTTGTCTTGCTGTGTATCAAACAGCTGTCGTCACCCCGCAGATGAGCTCAATTTCAGAAGGTACATATAAAAAAAGTCACGCAAGCAAGGTCACTCGTTTGGAATTTCCCGGGGCAATAATGCCACCTGATCTAATGAAATTTGAGTAAGATTTTCAACTGACCGGTCTATCCCCAAATTGTAATGATTCATTAGTATTATCCTTTAGTTGCCAAGTTGTAAAAGAGGATCATTGTGGATACAGTAAATCAGTTCT